CCTACAAAATAGCGAACGAAAATGCTTATTTTGGCTGGTTGATTTTTTTTTTTCGTTTTGAATTAAAAAAAATATATTCGTGAAAAAGAAAATGAAAAAATTATAGGGAGTTACCCTTCGATGTCCCCCACCCTCCTATAAAAAAAAGAGCATATCCCCCCCAGCCAAAAAAAACACTCTCCGTGAACTCCATGAACTCCCGTGTCGTTGAACTCCATGACTGGTCTCCATCCACAGACCCCGTGAAGGGGGGTATGGCACTGCCCTGAAGATCGCAGGTGTTCTGATGGCCTGGCCGAAACACCAGTAGCCTAAGGTGGTAGTACCGTCATTGGTGCTTAATGACTATGAGGCTTTGCTTCTACCCCTTTCACTTGTGTTTCATTGAATATTTTGAGAATTCTGCACTCGGGGGGTTATGACATCTCGTCTTGTCCCGTCTACACACTGTCTTGTCTTTGTCTTTGGAAGTGCATGCACTAGCCTGTATGATTGCTCATACTGTGGCCTGAGAGTGATCAGAGCAGCTCCTCGTATTACCCTGGCATCTTGGATTAAAAAAAAAAAAAAAAAAAAAAAAAAAAAAAAAAAAGCAGAAGAAGAAGAAGGTACCACACGCACCTTGGAGTACACTCAGACTAGGCCCTCAAAATCACAAAATCGCAAAATGAGCGGCCAGATCTAGTCGTTCGTTTCCAAGGACTCGATCTGGCCGCTCATTTTTCGATTTTTAGGGCCCGGTATAAGTATGCCCTTAGAAACTTAGAGTAGGATGGAAAGAATGCAGGTGAGATTCCGTGATTGCACATTCTACGACAGAGCTGCGCATCCATAGACTCAAAAGAAAGGGAAAGCCACAAAGAGCAGAGGGCCTCGCTCCACTGCAAATGCATATTATCCAGCTCATTGCCGTCCCAGACGCATTCAAAATGTTGCATCAGTCGGAGAATTTGGCCCACAAAAGGTCCAGATACATGTCAAATGTTAAGCACTGGAGTGATGCGCCCATAGTTTCCTGTCAAAACGCGAATTTAAAACTAAGATTCTGCATAGACCACAATTGCGTGCTTAGCAGGTACATACGTACAAGCTATATCAATGATCCCACTTCCGTGTAGGATATGCCCCAGAGCTAGTATTAGAGGTTAGGACCTGATAGGGGCCCAGATCCTCTTCACATTGAATGAAGGAACTCAGGCCACAGAGCTAGTATTAGAACTTAGAATCTGGCGCCTCTTCACATTGAGTACTACCTTCTTCACCCGAATACAACGTACGGTCATTATAGATGTATTTGGCGTATCTTTCCGTCTAAAAAAATACAGCAAAAATGACCGCACGTTGCATTCGGGTGAAGAAGGTAGCTCTGAGGCCCTGAGGACCTGTTTCGGCCTCAGGTTGATTACCGCCTCGGACATGGTAGGGGGTACAAGCAACCACAGGATGGGAGTTTGTCAAAAAAAAAAAAACAATGACCTAAGTGCCATCCGGTGCACACACACACACACACAACAAAAAA